TTTGTCAACCTAATATAATTTTATCATATTAAGTTTAGTATACTATTTTTTAGCATGAAAGATTATGATTATAAAATTTATAAAATTATTTTTCATTTTTAACTAAATATATGTATTAATGTATAACAACATATCACTATTAGTTACGAAATTCGTGATGATATTTATACAAATTTTTGAAAATTATGATCTTGTGTTAGAATTTATAAAGCATTGTCCAAAAAAATCACACAAAAAGACGCTATTAGTTTTTTTAAATAGATAAGATAAGTGATTGATAATATCAGTTAGTTAGAAATTGTTTGTGCATAACAGAATATACACTTTATTCACGATTTGAGAAAATAAATTATTTGACTATATCTAGATAGAGTGTGCTCCATAGTTTTATACATTATAATTTTATAATGTTTGGTTGGACTGCTGTATATTTAATATGTTGCACATAACAATTTAATAAATTTGAAGAAAATGTATGCTGGTTATCCTAACCAGATTTTTAGGCGTGTTCTTGTCATTATAATTTCGATATTTAGTATTGTATATAATGAAAAGATTAGAGAATAAATGTAACATGACTTTCTAGAAGTATGTCTAAATAAAAAGGCCATACATGAATTGAAGTTGTTATTTCTGTTTTAATATATAAAACTAGATTTTGACCATCGCTTTCAAAGCGCGGGATTATTTTCAAACAAACCAAATTTATATGACATATTTGAATATATATATCTACATTTAAATGTTACACATGACCGTTATATTCAGTGTTTTGAAACACGATCCGAATCTGTGGTCAAACCGACATAACCGTTAATGTTATATGTAACCATTTTGATTTTTTTAAAAAGCTCTATTTAAAATTCTATAAAACCCACAAAAAACCAGCTAAAACCTGGGACTCGACTACCGGTTCAAATCGCATGATTATTTTCGAAAGAAAAAAAATTTATATGATATAAATTTGTATTTTTGATTATGTATCTACATTTAAGTATTAAACATGAAGCATTACATTCAGTGATCTGAAACACGATCCGGACCCATAATTAAACCGATAAAATGATGACTTTATATATAACCCAGTTTGGTTTTAAAAAGAAAACTCGTTATTTACAAATTCGATAAACAAAATTTATATGATATATATTTGTATATTTGAATATGTATCTAGATTTAAATGTTATACATGAAGCATTATATTCAGTGTTCTGGAACACGACCCAGACCCGTGGTTAAAGCGACAAAACCGATGATTTAATTTATATGTAACCCGGTTTATTTGTTTTAAAAGCTCATTATTTTAAACTATATAAAACCCGCAAAAATCCCGCTAAAACCTGGGACTCGGCTACGGTTTAAAGCGCGGGATTATTTCCAAAAAAAAAACAAATTTATATGATATAAATTTATATTTTTGATTATGTATTTACATTTAAATGTTAAGCATGAAGCATTATATTTAGTGTTCTGAAACTCGATCCGGACTTTTAGTTAAACCGATAAAAATGATGCTTATATATGTAATCCGGTTTGCTTTTAAAATAAAAAACTCATCATTTAAAATTTTATAAACCCGCAAAAAACTGCTAAAATCTGGATATAATTTGTTAAGTTACTTTACATTTATTACTTGGTGTAGTAATTTAATTATGAATATAAATAATGTATATAAATTTATTTCTTATTATATAAATGAAAAATGAATTAGTATTCGTTTTTAACTATAGTTAATATTAATTATGAATTTTATTATTTAAACATAAATATTATAAATATATGTATATTTAAATTTTAAATAAATGATATTAATAAAATCTAATCTTAGGAAAAGGTACTTAAGAATATCTTTTTAGATATTTTATTTTGAAAATCTTAAAATAATTGTTAAGCATAATTTACATTTAAATGATAATTACGTTAGTTATAGGAGAATACAAAGGAAATTAAATACATGTAATAGTTCAACATAAACTACTTGAAAGTAAATAAAATGTCTTCCTGTTTTAATAGAATTGATAGTCATGTATATCAAAAAATCTTTCGAAATATCACATCACTATATTTAGCCTCTGGCTGTTCCGTATCAATAGGGTGAAAGGCTGGAATGCTTTTAATGAAGCAAAATTCATTCTGACATACTCTTACTCATTCTCACATACTCCTTTCTATTCTCATACTCTCCATATGGGTGGTTAATGTCAAAATTTCTCCTCCCTACTTGACCAAATTAATGACCAATCAAAATCGGTCAAAATTGGTCAAAATCGAGAATCTGAATTATTTTTATTTCCAAATCGGGAGTGATCTGTTTTTTTCTCTCTCATCCGCGGGATTCGTTTCTTTCTTCTTCTTCGTCGTTATCATCGCTTAGGTCGGTTAAATTCGTCCGCCTAGATGTTGAATCATTGAGCTATTGATTCCATTGACAGGGTATGTATCTTAAATTTTTCCTAACTCGTCGTAACCCAATGTTTAGAATCCACCATACACTATCGATTTACAGAGATTCCAAATTACAATTCTAATTGGACTAGAGTAATTGAGGATCAGAATGTGTGAATGGTCTGTGTATTATGGAATGGTTAATTAACCACTGTAATCATAAGAAAAAGAAAAGATAGAACGTTGGGAATCTAAGCTGATAACTATTGAAACGAATTGAAGAGGACGAATAGCTAGAATTAGAAAAGTTGGAAAAAGTTTGGAAAAGTTGGTTACTAAAAAAAATGTGTAACAAGGTATAACTTCGTATAACTAACATGTTATAACTGTATAACCAGGAATAAATCAAGTATAACTTAGTGGTTAAATTATTTTGAACTGCAGATGAGTCTTTCTTCTACAAACATACACTTTGATTATGATGGACATTATTCTAAGGCTGGAGATAATTATGAATGGATTCCAACCGATGGTCGTTTGTATGGTATATCCTTTAGAACATCATCATTGAAAGATAGGAAGAGATCACTTATTTGTTGTTGAAGGAGAGAATATACAGGAAGATAGAAATAGATCCGTTTACGAAGAGACTGAAATTTGGTTACATTCCACTGGTAGTGGAACCTAAGAGACAATCATATATTTTGGAGGATGAAGATGTGTTTGTTTATCTAACATCAGTGGATAAAGAACAAAGAATAAGTATTTTGCATGTAGAGGACACCCAAGAATTGGAAATAGCTCAAATAACCGAGCAACTATCGAGAGTTGAGAATGAAAGCTCATGTAATAAGAACTACGGTGAACGTGTGAGTGGATATGGAGAAGAAGATAATGTGGGTACTTGTTTGGAACATAAGGAAAACAATGAACATCCCCACAAGAAACAAAAGAGGAAACGTTGAAAGGTGAGATTTGTATTTTGTGTTGTGCAACTAAGTGAAACTTTATCCTTTACTGGTATAAGTACGATAGGTAGACTGAGTAATAGGATTGTAAATTTTAAACTTGTTACGAAAGTATTAATAAGATGGTATTTTATGAGTTATGTTCGCTTGTGTTGATTATGATTTTACCAGAACAAAAAAAAACAAATCTCGTTGGTTATTAGTAATCATGATGTCATTACACTATCTTCTTATATGTTTTTCGTTAATATTCACTTTGTCTCATTTGAAATCTTACTATGTAATGAAATCGAGTTTATGCATACATGGACAAATGAAAAATGAATCTAGTATACATAACATAACTCGTATAACCGTAAAACCAGTCATTGTAATAAGGTAAAACCAAGATAAATGGAACAAATTATAAAGTACAACTTTGATGTTTTTTGTAAAACTGCAAATTTGGTGAAACTTCAATCACGAAAATATTAGGCTAAAACTTTCCCGCCCACCAGCTTTTCGAATTTCTAATCTCACTCTTTCCCCCCTTCCCAATCCAATTAGTACTAAAACCCTTACTTTTGCGTTTTCCCACATTCTCTAGAATTTACTTTCTCTCTCTTCCCTTTATCTCTCTCTCTCTCTCTCTCTCTCTCTCTCTCTCTCTCTCTCTCTCTCTCTCTCTCTCAACCAAAATCCCCCAATATCGAACCCAACTACGTCCGCTTCATCTTCCACGACCGGTGGTCGGAGACGATGAGTAAGAATTCCGGGGATACCTAAGAGGTGTTGGTGCGGGGAGAGCATCAACGAGCTCATCTCCAAATCCGGTCCAAATCCATATCGGTGTCTCGATGCGGCAAAAAAGAGGATAACGTCCGTTTAGCTTTAGTTATCGAAGGGTTGTTCTCTTAAATATTTTGAACAAAATGTTGGAATGTTGTAGGTCGAGAACGATGATCTCGTCTTCAAATGGGTCGAAAAATCTTTCACCGATGAGATTGAACAGTTGGAGTACAAAGTTCGAATGATAGAAGAAGAAGTTCAATTGCTCAAAGCAACAATAAGCAGTGAATGTCCCAAAATAATATCTAAGATAATGATATCAGGATGTTGTGTTGTTAGTATCATCATTGTTGTTGTAGTTCTCGGTCGAATTATGATCTAGAAGTGATTCCTAAAGCTAGTGACTTTGTCAAACATTCTGTTTTGTTTAAGTTTTTTGTAATGTATGCGAAGTTAAACATTATGTTTTTCTAATTTTTTCCTAAGTTTCTCTTAAATTGTGCAAACTTAAACTAATACGAAATATGGTCAATTTAAAAATTTTCTCAAATGTTGACGATGTTGGACAATTGAGAAATTGAACCTAACACAAAATTTGACCTGGTTATACGAACACCAACTTTCAAGTTAAGTTAACTACTAAGAAGTTTGGTAAACTTACAAGTTTCTCAAATGTTTACGATGTTGGACAATTCAGAAATTGAACCTAACACAAATTTGACCTGGTTATACAAACACAGACTTCATGTTAACTTGAAGTTATTCTTAGGTTCACGCACTTGGACAATTACAAAAGTTAAAAAATCATTTTTAATACACATTAACGCAGTTCAACACCACAAACCAAGTTTAAGAAACACTAATACATTAGATAAAACCTTACAAAGGCCCTATAGCTTCGTACTTCCGAACATAAGGGTCACGGTTATTGACCGATTTTCTGAAATCATCTACCTCCGGCAAGCGCGGATTGTACCTGAAGTCAGATAAGTTCCCCTCGGTCTGAAGTCATTCATCTATAGGACCAGAATAAGCTGTATAAATGAGTTTATATAAGGTTTTAGTCAACTAATACATTTAAACCTGAACACATAAGCATAAAATTCACTTACAGAAATAGTCGCGAACCCTCCACATCTTAAGGACCACAATCACCTGTCGACGACCTCCCCTGTTTTCAAACCCTTCCCGGAAGGCATAAGCATGTTTCCCAGTTGCTACACATTTTATCTGACTTTCACTATGATGAATAAAACAAGGTGAGTCAATTACACTAATTCAAACATTTTGCTTTGATCATATGTTACTTAATACTTACATGTTGTCCTATATGTAAAACACCATCTTTGGTCCTTCAGGATCATCAAAATGGGCTTCCGTCTTAAAGACCACTCTCATTGTATCTACCAGATAAGTATATTCGATTCTGTTACTTACATATGAAATATATTTATTAGTTAGAATTCGTACCTATGGGAAAATTTCTCTCCTTGTAGCTCATGTGAGGGATTTCATGAATGCCTTTGAACTCAAAGTAAAGCTGATCGCTCAGAGGATCGATGATGTGGATTTGGGTATCGCCAATAGCAGTTAGTGTGAATTTGGATTTTGCTACCTTGAAACCTGAACCGGCACGGCCAACTTCTACAATAAAGATTTCCACCCATTTTCCCTCTTACTTCTCTAGGCCTCTAAACCTATCTCCATATATATCATAGATGGTCATCTCCATCTTGGTTCCCTGCATAAATTAAGTTCAACGAGCGAGTTTATATTTTCCACTGTTGTCATTAGAAACTTGAAAGATGATGATTTCGTACTTACATGTTCATCTGCTAGGACATAAACATGGTGTGGTCCTTTGCAGGTAACATAGGAATAAGGATAAATCCCTATGATTTTCACTCTGAAACGCCAATGCTTGACCTTCTCGTTATAGACATTTTCACCAAGAGTATTGTAGTGTTCCATATTTGAAAGATGATGAATTCTTTCTTTGCGGTGAAATGTTTTTAGATATAAAGGAGACGATTTAACTTAACTTACTGCGGTGGAGTGGAGATTAACTTGAGGGTTTCTTAAATTGAATGCAAATGTAATGAGAATCTAGTTTAGTTGTGGGGATTTAAATGAAGTGTAATGATGATAATAGGCGACTGTTAGTGTGAAAAGTCGTGTCTTTCAAATCGTTTAACTTGTAGTTGGGGTAATAAATCTGAAAATTTTGGAGTGGAAGCCACCGTTTGCATATCAAATCACTCTTAAATGAAAGAGTTACAACTTTGGAAGTTGGGATAATAAATCATTATAACACAAATTAAATTACTCTTCATTTATTATCCCCTATTTTTCTTAATGAATAATATATTTATTTCTTAAAGGTTTACATAGTTTCATATATTTAGACTATCAAAGTTGTTACACTTATTTAAATTGTTAAACATTTTCTTAGTTTCATGTATTTAAACAATCTAACTAAGCGGTTTCACTTAGTTTTAAAAGTTATTTATTTTTATCATTTAAAGATTTACAAAGTTTTAAATCCAGCGCACGCGACTGTTTCAGTCAGAAGTCATACCTTCTCGAGACCTCCATCAAATCACTCTTAACTGCCGTGATAAATACAATATTATCTCTTCTCCACTGTTGAGGATCATCACTATTATAAAAGGGTTTATCATTTTGTCCAAATAAAGAAAAAGTTATTCTTACCCTAATGTCTCACCATGTCAAACTCTAAATTGGCTTCTCTTCATCCTTATATGCTTCAAAAGATTCTCTCTAAGGTAGCAACAAACCATATCTGGGACTTCGGTAGTGCAAGAGTTGCATTGCCCCCCTTCAATCAAATTGGCAGAGAAGAATACTTCTACAAATCTGCAGATCTTATTCACTTCAATGACTGGATTGATGAAGTTAATGCTGTCAGAACATACATGCTTAAGTGCTACCAAGCTGGTAATCCACATGCCATCGACATGCGAGGTATGTATGAGTTCTTTGTCCTCCATTTACTTGATCAAGGAAGAGAAAAAAAATTGTCTTGCTGGTGAGAGGGGATTTTTGTTGGCCAAGTATGTTGATGATATGCTCAACTTAGAATTTAGTGTTGATGATAGAGGACTGGTTCACAACTTTCCTACTTTTACACATGAGTTTGCTGATTAGATAAATCACATGCTCGCTACTGAGGTATCCTCAGGTCATTGGGGTTACGCAAAACAACAGATCTTTATGTCTCTATTGGAAAAGATAGATTCCAACATCGGTTATAATTGGTGGTGCTCTGAAATTATACCATGCAATCGTTGTTTCTGGCAGTGTGCAGTTTGGGACTTCTGCAATGATATTCATTTGACTGTTGCTCACTGGCCAATTAAAGATTAGAGATGAATTATTTCTGTGTGTTTATAAGTTGTTTATAAGTACTTTATGTAAAATACATTTCGTGTATTTATAAGTTGTTTAACTTAATATATAGTTTTTATTTATCAGTAACATAATGCAAATGAATAACTATTTTTATATGTTTTGGATTAACTGTAAGCAAAGTTGAATCGATATGTAATCATTAAATATATCAATAACATATTGCAAATGTACAGGACACAATGAAAATTAGTTGAAGGTTTACTAAGTTGTATAGTTACCACAAGTGTGAATTAGTTCAACTTAGATTACAGTTACACTTACACCAAGTTATATAATTACACAAAGTTTCAGTAAGGTTTCTGAAGTTATGGGCACTGGAGATCCGAATTTTAGGATTCAGGTCTGGTCCGCGAAATATAGGATTCCGGTCTGATCCAAATTTTAGGTTTCTGAAGTTATAGTCCGTGAAATACCACTGGTTGCCTTGTAATTATTTGAGTTTCTTTCAGTGTTCTGGTCTTTTACTAAATTTTCCTATTTAAATAAAGATTTATTCGATTTATTTGGAAATGAATTTCAAAAAAAGTATTTAGAAATAGTTTTTTTCAGACAGGAGCATTAGAGCATTTGATTCGTATCAATAGCGAGAATTTTATGGCCATAAAAAGATTTCCACTCAGCTTAAGTTATATTTTACTAATCAGATGAAACAGTTTGTTTATATTTTTATTTATCTTATGCCGCTTGGGGGATCTAGGAACAAATTTGACTGAATGCATAACATATATTTTCACTATATTTGGATTGGGAGCATTTATGTAGATTTCACAATATTTCTTTACAAAATAGAAAATTTTAAGCCTATTCATCGTTCTCTTTGTCCGCCTCTGTTTGGATTTAGATCAAGTCAATGAAATATCAAATTTGGTATAATTTTATTTTCAGTGAAACATCAAAAATGATATATCCTAATTAATTTAGTGTCTTATAAATAGTGTTACACCAAAAATTAAAATAACTAGATCTTTTTTCCGCACTATGCTCAGATAATGTATAACACATTTTTTCGTATTAGTTTAATTTATTACTAATGGTTTGTATATTTGCATGGATTTGTATGAGAAAAGATGAAGAATTAAATTTACTGATTAGTATTTGATAATATATTTTTAATAATATTCTTCATTATTTTTTTAATAAAATGATGTGTTTTCTAAATTTACATAATTATTTAACTTTTATTATCAGTTTTATGTTTTGGTCTCTATTTTCATTTTTTATTGTTAAAGGTTAACCAATTCAAACCTAAAATCTATCTATTATTATAAAAAAAGATTTTCTTCCCTCATGTTAAGCTACATCACTAATTCGTACTCCAACAACACGCCACGTGTCCCATTTCTTTAAACTCTGTGTTTCATTAAGACATATATTTCGTGTGTTTGGACTTATTTCGTTTGTGTTATTGGGCTTTGTATACCGATTAGGCTTATAGTTTGATGTGGAAACTGCATGATAACCTTGCAGAGACAACCCTAATTGTGTTTTCACGAAACATGTAAGTTTACGGTTCTTCTCTTCCATTAGTTCTGCGGCGACCAAAAAATGATTCTCTTGTTCTCTGACATTGAATGCTGAGAGATATTCTTTTGCAAGGCGGTGTATCAACAACTATAAAATGGTTAGCCGTCTCTCAATCCCCGAATAATTTTTGTGTCAAGCATCAATATGTCATTTCGTCTTCCATTAAATCTCTCACTCATACTCTCTGAAAATGGTTTCTTTCGCAGATTCATCTGTCTGAATTGAAGGCACTTTTGTGTTTCTGGGAATCCCAAAATGTTAAGAAAGATGGTGAGGTCATGGGCGTTTATATGCGTTTGGTTGATGGCAGGTTAGTCTTTTTGACTTAATCGTTATTTCTTACTTTCAGCTTAGTATCTTAAGTAATCTACATATTCTTATCGCCAACGTCCTTTCACAATAGTCTTTAATCCAACCATCTATCAACACCATAAAACCTTCAAAAACCTCCATTCATAAGCAAGCTGAGAGCTTGATTTTTTTTTTTTTTTGTGAAACCAATGTTTTCATTCATAACTTAACCAATTACAAGGATTAAAGCAACATCAAAACAGAGATGTGCAGTCTTTTTCGGTAAATGAAGAACAAAACAATGTAGAGATAGAGACACAAACTTAAACAAGTTTGATAAGATGTCGAAGGTTACTATTACATTAGCATTGATTATGATTTACAAACAATGATTTTCTAACTGTGTTGGGTTTTCTTAGGATGAAATTAAATGGACGCTTATGTTGATTCTAAAGATGTTTTTAAAGAACACGATCTGATTCTACAGATTGTGATGAATATAACTAAAACATGCAGATGGTTTTTCCTACCGATGAATGGCCTGCTTTCTGCTTCTTTTGTTCCTTTAACTAAGACATTAAATTTTTTCTATTTTCTCTGTTTTCAAACAGAGCGTTGTGGTTAAGTGGAGATCAAAGCTATCTGCAAGTGCCTTCTTGCTTCTCGGCACAACTGGATCATAACCTCTGATCTCAAGTTAGACAATACGTAAGGCATGCGTTTCTTGAATATCTATGACAGAAATATTTGAATGAAGATGCTAACTGTGGAAATACTGAAAATGTAGGTTAATCATGAAGGTGTTGAAAACAGAAGAGAAACCCACCAACCAGTTTCACATACTCTGTGATTATTAGAAGACTTTTCACTACCCGTAAATCAAAGTGGGATATGGCTTCTGAAAGTATAAGTAAACTCCAGTTCAAATCACTTACAAGTTACAAACTTACAATATTGATACTAAAATTATCTATGCAGCGTCAAATATTTATTCAAGGCATTGGGTTTTTTAAAAGAGATCATTTCTCAAATATTGAGCCTATTCCCACTACTATAATATTCTAATCAACGTCCTCTAGATTCCTATTGTTACATAGCTGATGCTGACAGATTTATCTATTCGTTTTAAGAGTGAGATGTTAGTTTATCAAAATTTGCTTACATCACACTGATCAAGGGACATTGTGTCCTATTTAAGTTATCTATGCAAGGCAGCATGTTCCATCACAGGACCTCAAGCTTTTTCACCAATCAGAAAAGCCCACTCCACATTTTGGAACTCTTCATAAGGATATGTTTCTATATCAACTTCTCTCAACCAAGGGAATAAATAATCCTCGAGTTCAATTGCAATACCATCAAGAGCTTGGATTGATCTCTCTGTTCCAAGAAGTCTCATAACAATTGTTTGGTCTGGTCCAAATACTGCATCGGGAGCAAGCTACACCTCAGAAAACCAAGTTTAATGGACTAAATTATTAGTAAGTAATCATATCATATGTAACATTATTGGAAAAGGAGTAACTTTGATCATTCCTCTAGCATCTCACTCGCTGTGATTTGAAAAGGACAAGGGTCCGTGACTGATTTGAAATTGGAGATAACGATGAAATTGGATTAATGTTTAGGGCTTTTTGCAGAATTGACCTGAAACTTGAAGTCAACCACAAAACTAACCTCCTTTTTTTTGGAACTTTATTTTGCACAATTCACCCCACAAGTTCATATAATTCACGAAAATGCCATCAATTTATTTGTTTTTTTTTTTTCCGAAAATGACATATTTACTCTCTCACCCTCATCATCTTCAAGTAATTACAAGATTGTCATTGTCATCAATACTCCAACAACCATGAACAACCAATTTTGAAGCTCTTAATGCCTCCAAATTCCATTTACCCTTCTTCTTTCTCTATTCTCATGAACTAAACAACACATTACAACACATATCTCTCACTTTCCCTCCACAATGAGCTAAAAAAACCCAAGATTTTGATTCTACATTTTTTAGGGTTCATATAGTCAAAGAAATTAAAGATTCAGGGTGGATTACCTTCGTTTGAGATCCTGAGTGCTTGATTCTACATTTTCTAGGGTTCATATAGTCAAAGAAAGTGGTCTCACCAATTTAAGGTATGAAATCGAGTTTTTTTTTCCAGATCTGTTCGTCCAGACCACTGAAATTTCAGTCGTCTGCATTCGTCCGGTCAACGCAAAGGTTATTTTTGCAATTGACTTTGCAATTTATTTCCAGAGACGACTGAAAGTTCAGTTGTCTGGATTAGTTTGATAAAAAAAAATCCTCAGAATCTGGACGACTGAAATTTCAGTCGTCGTAGATTAGTTTTGCATTTGACAAGAAAATTTCAGAATTTTGACTTTTTCGGACGACTGAAATTTCAGTCGTCTGCGAAAAAATTGAAATATCAATATTTTATTGGAACTCACGACTTACATTTCGGTAGTAATAGGTTAGTTTTGCAATTGTGAAAAAAAAAACTTCAACTCTCAAGATGACTTATAATTCAGTCGTCCCGAAGACGACTTAAAATTCAGTCGTCCATGATTTTATTCCGAGATTCTGGCCAAACCTTGTAAATTCTAGACGACTGAATATTAGGTCGTCCAGCAGACGACTGAAATGTAAGTCGTCTGGATATGATTAAATATTGAAGTTTTTTTTCGCAATTGCAAAACTAACCTACGACGACTGAAATGTAAGTCGTCGAATTTCAATAAAATATTGATATTTCATTTTTCCTCAGACGACTAAAATGTAAGTCGTCCTGAAAAGTCAAACTTCTGAAATTTTCTAGTCAAATACAAAACTAACCTACGACGACTGAAATTTCAATCGTCTGTGTTTTTTGGAGATTTTTTTTTTATCAAGCTAATCCAGACGACTAATATTTCAGTCGTCCCAATTAACAGATTTCAAAGTCAATTGCAAAAATAACCTCTGCGTTGACCAGACGACTGAATGTTTAGTCGTCTGGATGACTTAGATTTCAGTCGTCTGCATCTATCTTTAATAAACTTTTGTTTTCTTTGTTCTATGTTTGCTAATGTGTTTTATTTTTACTATTTCAGATGACGCATCAGTTACGTGCAGTGTATGGAGAATGGTTGTTGGAATTTTG